AAACAGGGGAGGTTTGTAACAATTATGACTCTCATCTAAAAAGTACAAAACAAACTTCTTCTCCTTGAGAAAAACAAGGAGATAATCACTTCAAATTCCTAACATTGGGCAAACTTATGTCAGATAATACCAAAAGCTGGTGGGGATATAGACAAATCACAGAGCTGTCAGGAATGTTGAAGTCAGAACCACCATTTTCAAGTACATTCTGGTACATAAACTAAAACCCTTCCATCTAGCAATTCCTCTTCTAGGTAAATACTCAAAAGAAATGATCACGCACATGGGATGTGTACACAGGCAGTCCCTGAAGCATCATCTACAAAAGTAAAGAACTACAAACCTCATTGACCCTGAGTAGGAAGGGGTTAAAGAAACTCTGGCATACTTAACTATTGTTTAAAAAAAAAAAAGTTACACCTACAAGGGGGGATGGGCTGCCCAAAACCCCACAATATACCAGCTGAAGAATCAACGAGATCCACCTACAGGTTTCAACCGGGATGAAGACGAACATAATGCTAAACAAAAAGCAGCAAGTTCCAAAAGAGTAAGTATAATATGATACTATTTATACATATTTTTAAAACACATAAAATACTCTATCATTTACCAATATAAATGTTAATAACACTCGAAAATACTATATGGAGCGGAGGAATAAATTGGGAGACTGGGACTGACATATACATACTACTTTGTATAAAACAGATAACTAATAAGGACCTACTGTATAGCACAGGGAACTCTACTCAATACTCTCTAATGGTCTATATGGGGAAAGAATCTAAAAAAGAGTGGATATATGTATACGCATAACTGAGTCACTTTTCTGTAAAGCAGAAACTAAGACAACATTGTAAATCAACTATACTCCAGTGAAAATTTTTTTTAAATACTATACATTATTTCTCAACATATATGCATGTATTTGGGAAAGCATAAAGGGAAAGAAAGGAAAAGCAATTCAGGGGGTTTGTACCTCATCCTAGTGTTTTGTTTCCCTTAAAAAATCTGAAGGAAATATGGCAAAATGTTAACATTTTTTAAGTGTAGGTGGGGGTTAGATGCATACGTTTGCTATATATAATCCTGTGTACTTTTCTATATATTTAAAATATTCCAGAATTTTTAAAATAAAAGACTAAAGTCACTACAATACTTTTTACCTATCAGATTAGCAATAATTTAAAATTTGATAATACTGATAAGATTGTAAAGAAACTGGTGTGCATAACCAGTTGGTGGGAGATTACAAACTGGGACAAGCTCTTTGAAGGGTGATTTGGTATCATCTATCAGAAATTTAAATATGCATACCCTTTTCCCAAGCAAATCCCGCCTCCAGGAACTTATCGCATGAATTTATTCATACACAAGAGCAAATTAATCTTCAGGAAGGTTTACTTTGCTTTAGCACTTGGTAAGAGTGAAAAAATCGGTGAATCATAATTTTCTGTAGGAAAATGTTTAAAGTCCAGTACACCCATACAATGAAATAATGGCCACTGTCAAAATGAGGTAGAGCCACATATCTATGCTGACATGAAATGACGGCCAAGGTATCTTTAATGAAAAAAGCAAGCTGCATATGATACCAACTGTATAAAAAGATATTTTCTATTATACATAAAAGAAATGTGCAGTTTGGATACACACAGAAAATATCTGGAACGTTTTATAAAAGAGTTTGTTAAAAATAGGTATATCTGCAAGGGAGGTGGGGCTACCAGTGGGAGGGAGGCTTTTCCCCTTAGTATTCTTTTGCATGGATTTTACCGCAATCATATGTCACTTTTATATTGGGGGGGGCGCGTGTACAAAAACTACAGATTCTAAATTTAGAGCCACTGAATTGGAATGCTGTAAAGCTGGGTCCAATAAATCTGGTTTGTTTTTTTTTTGCGGTACACGGGCCTCTCACTGTTGTGGCCTCTCCTGTTGTACAGCATAGGCTCCGGAGGCGCAGGCTCAGCGGCCATGGCTCAAGGGCCCAGCAGCTCCGCGGCACGTGGGATCTTCCCGGACCTGGGGCACGCGGCACGTGGGATCTTCCCGGACCTGGGGCACGAACCCGCATCCCCTGCATCGGCAGGCGGACTCTCAACCACTGCGCCACCAGGGAAGCCCAAATCTGTACTTTTAACAAGTCACCCAGTGACTCCCAGGCAGCTGAGTTGGCCACTGCTCCAGGTGAGACCTGGGCCAGGTGGCACATGGAGGGGAGGAAAGGATCTCACTGACAGGTCTCTCTGAACTTCTCAGAAATAAGCTTGCCCCAAAAATGAACCATGGGGCTTCCCTGGTGGCGCAGTGCTTGAGAGTCCGCCTGCCGATGCAGGAGACGCGGGTTCG